GCATATCTGCAGTAATCAATGAAACAATCAGTCAAATAAACAAGTCAAAGGGAGTCATACAGTGTCATATGATGGGGAGGAGTCAGGGAACAAAGGCTATACTGGCTGTGCAATCAATGCACAGCAAGGAGCCAGACACTGGAACTATAGTACAACATGTGAGCAATACAAATGAGTCAGAGATGAGTCAGTGGAACAAGAAACATGTTGTCCATCAGAGAGGGCAGTGGGATACTGGATCAAACAGAAGGTGTGGTCTTGACAGGTATTGGAAATACCTCAACAGCTGGAGACCCAAATGAGCCTCGCATCATACGAGCCCTGGTGAGGTGGACATGATGACAGTAAGGTGAAGAAGGTTGTCAACTGGCCAGCACTTGCCACTCCCAAAGATGTTTGCTTGTTCCTAGGTCTCTGTGGTACTGTTCACATCTGGATTGTGAACTATTCACAGTTGGCTCACTCACTCATTGATCTCTATCACAAGAATGCTCCATTCATCTGGGGTCAGGCCCAGCAAGATGCATTTGATGCCTTGAGACTTTCCATCTCATCTGCTCCTGCCCTTTGCCCCATCAACTACTCATCTGACCTACTGGTTGTTCTCTCCATTGATACCAGTAATGTTGCCATTGGGTTCATTCTGTCGCAGTATGACAATGAAGGTCACAAATGTCCTGCTTGCTATGGGTCACTTCCCATCAATGAACATGAATCTTGCTACAGTCAGCCTAAGCTCAAACTCTATGGTCTTTTCAGAGTGCTTCATCACTATCGTCTGTATCTCTATGGCATTTGTCATCTATGGGTAGAGGTTGATGCGAAGTACATCAAAGGTATGCTCAATGATCCAGATCTTCAGCCTAATGTGACCATGAATCACTGGATTGAGGGTATCCTGCTCTTTGACTTTAAGCTTGTTCACATCCCTGCTATTCAACATCAAGCCCCAGATGCACTTTCTAGATGACAGCCCACTAAGGAGGACTATGAAGAAGGTGAAGCCAATGCAGAGGAGGCTGATGAGTGGTTGGAGAGTATTCTTTTTGCAGATGCCCATCCCCTTCTGTACAATGTCATGACCCTCCCATCCTTCCTTTCCAATGATATGTCCCAGGATGTCCTTTTATGTAGAGTCCTCCACTTCCTTCAAATGACAGAACTACCACCATTCCCTTCCAATACTGCTTGCAAGTGTTTCATTTGCAGGTCCCTCCAGTTCTTCCTTTGTGGAGACCAGCTCTTCAAATGTTGAGGTCCCCATCCTCCAGCTAAGGTCATCTTTGACCCAGATCTCTGTGCTCAGATCCTCAGTCATGCTCATGAAGAACTTGGTCATTGTGGAGTCTTTGGAGTCTTTCAGACCATCAGACAGCATTTTTATTGGCCTCAACTCTATCAAGATGTTGCCCACCATGTCCATTCCTGCCATGAGTGCCAGATACGAAGCACTTGTAAGGCAGAGGTTCCCATCACCATCTCCACTTCCCCTAGAATCTTCATGAAGGTTTATGTCAACATCATGCTCATGCCCAAGGCTTGTGGATATCGCTATCTTGTTGCAGCTCAAGATGATCTTTCCCTCACTGCAGAAGGTTGTGCTCTTTGACATGCCAATGCAGACAGTCTTGCTAAGTTCTTCTGGGAAGAGGTCTTCTGTCATTATGGCATTATTGCACAGGTTGTCACTGATAATGGCAGTGAGGTCAAGGGTGCCTTTGAGAAACTCATGAAGCACTATTCCATTCCACAGATTTGTATCTCCCCATATAATTCAAAAGCAAATGGAGTTGTAGAGTGTGGACACTTTGTTATCAGAGAGGCTGTCATCAAGGCTTGCAAGGGAGACCTTTTGCTCTGGCCTTCCAAGGTTCATCATGCTTTCTTCACAGACAGGGTTACTACTCATTGCTCCACTGGATTCAGCCCTTACTTCTTGCTCCATGGTCTTGATCCTGTCTTGCCCTTTGACCTCTTTGAGTCTACATATCTTGTCAAAGGATTCTGGTCTGGAATGACTTCTCAGGAGCTCCTTGCACTATGCATTCATCAGTTGGAGAGGAGGGAAGAGGACATCAATGCTGCTTTCACCACTCTGCAGAGGTCTCATTTGCACTCCAAGGGTCAGTTTGAGAAGAGGTATGCACTACGATTGGTAAAGTCTGCTTATGAGCCAGGAGACTTGGTATTGGTTTGCAACACCCAAATAGAAAAGGAACTGGATCATAAGTCAAAGCCATGCTACCTTGGTCCCTATGAGGTTGTTCATCACACCAAGGGAGGTTCCTATGTCATTAAAGAATTTGATGGCACCATTTCTGCTTGAGGAATCGCAGAATTTCAACTCATTCCCTATTATTCTTGACACACTCCTTTACCAGAGGTTATGGAAAAAGATATTGGGAAGAAGAAGAAGGTAAAAGCAATGATGATGATGAAAATGATGATGAAGATGAGGAAAACCAAGAACACAATAACAAAAATGACTATGACTCAGATGACTATTCATGATTTCTCCTTTTTCTTTTGGCTTCTTACTCTTGTCCTCTCTCATTCTTTTCTTCATTTCATTCAGATTTTTCTGTTTTCCCTGGGATCCCTGCATAGGTTGCAATCGGGGATGATTGCATTTCTTGTTGCTGGTGGATGTCACACACCAAAGGTGTTTGGTGAGGTGGACATGGATACAGCTGATGAGTGGAGGTGGAGACCATAGCCCTCATGTGAAGAAGGACAGCCAGAAATGTCAGCAGTCATCCCTTGCACAAGAATGAGTCATCAGTGCCAAAGAAAAAGAAAGGGAGCAAGTTAAGCACTGGTTAAAATTCTTAAGCACCCATGTACAGCATTCTGGTTTTCAACATATCTCCACCATTTCTGCAGATACTGAGACCATTCCCACACTTGCTTGTAGTGCTCAGCCATGCGATCTTACCTTCCAAAATTGGAAAGGATTTGCACACTCCACATGTTTCTACAGCACTCCCTCCAAAAGACACTCATTTCACTAAATTTTTCTGATATGGCCACCTCCACATCAGTCATTTCACTTGTCCCCTATGCTAGGGGCCATGGCTACATATATCTGCCAGGACTTCCTATCAGCTTCCATCCTGAAGCATCCTGGTACATCCCACCCTCATCTGTGCCCTCTCAGCCCATCCAGCTTGGACAGCATGTTCTTTTTGTCAGTATGACCTCTAGGAGGATGTTATTTGCTCACCTCAGGTCTGTCATTCACTTGGAAAGGTCTTATGTGGTCATTTCAGTGTCTCCAGTCCAAGAGGCATATGGATCCTTCCTCCCTACTCCCTGCAATGTCTTCATACCAGTCTCATTCATCATTCTTCCAAGATTGTGACAGCTACAGTATAATCTACTGTTCTCCACTCTCCCTGATCACATCAATGATGAGTATGATGCACATCTTGCCTCCTTGTTGCAAGATACAGCAGAAAATGCTCCCCCTTCATCCTCTCTTCCAACAGAGCCTCATTCATGAAGTTTTTGTTTGCTTCACTGAGAGGATGGTTTGGGGGGGGGAAATTGTGATCCCCTATGCTCCTGTCACCCCACAGACCCCCAAAGCTTGACCCCTGTTGACATCTGACTCACCCTGTCCACTTTTGGATGTACTATATTGGCATCAGATCAGTGCTGCCTCTCTGTCATCCCACCTTGGCCTAGAAGTGATCTCTTTGAGATGTGACATGCACAGCCTCCCCCTAATGTGATTCCAGTGTGCTTTCCCAGTTCCTGACATTACTTGACTCATACTTTGATGTTCTGACTGTCTTTGACTCACCTATTGCCAATACTTACCAATCTTTTGACTTTGCTTACTGATTCTTCACTTTTTGGCTTGCTAATCCTTACCAATGCTTACCAATGCTTTCCAAGATGATTACCCATCGCTTACATTCCTTACTCATCAGTTACCAAGTGTTTGCACCTTGTTTTCCAAGGGCAACACCCCTGTACTGTATATAAATCACTGTACTTAGATAGCAAAAAAAAAAAAAGAAGACATCAGAGAGCCCCTCTTGCTCACATTTTATCATCACTCAGTAATTCATTCAGCAGCTTTGATGGTTGAGACTTTATTAAGGGTCTAACTATCATCTACTTTGCTTATCCTTGTCTATCATCAATATACTTTGCTCCAGGCCCTCCCTGAGCTTAGTGCAGCTTAGAACATCAAATTAAGTTGCCATCCATCCTTCTGTAGGCTGACAGCAGTCTACCCTATCACTTTCTATCACATTCTTGCTCCCTCTTCATCAGGAGCACCTCAACCCTCAGCACTTGTCCTTGAGTGTTGTAGCTTGCAAAAACCCACCCAGGTCAAAGGTTCTACCATCTAGGTACCACATAGGCACACCACCACTCGCTCTTTTTGTCTTTTGTGTTGGTTTTGGTTGGTTTTCACCACTGAACCACACTTTGACTCACACTGGGCCTTGTTGAGTGTGCCTGTGGTGCAATTCACCAGGGTGGTACCAGGTGCTGTGCCATTTCAGCATCTGCCCAACCTCAAAAACCTCAGGATCCATGACTATGTCATGAGGGCACATAATCTCAATGGTCTTCAACACTTGCATGTCTGGGGGTACATGATTGGGATTCCAGACCATCCAGACAGGCACATGTATTTCAAAAAGGTGCTGGCAAATGTCGGGGTCTGTTGTGAATGCCCTGATCCAGCAGTCAAATGAATCAATGAAAGTGCCTGTAGCAGGGTTGAGGTCTGTGTCCAGATATTCTAGCATGCCAAAGATGTCTAGGAGGAGGTGTTGACAAAAAGTGACCAATATGACTGTGTCTCGAAATGTAAATGGGAGTTGCCAGAGAAAATTTTAATTAATGAAATCTGAACCAGAAAAAAATCATACCTTCAGACACAGGAGACATTGCTGACATGACCCCAGCCATGAATTGGGTCTCAGAGGACCTTCGTAGTGGGGGTGCTTCTTTAGCCAATCTTGCAAATGTTTGTCTAGTCAATTATAAATGGTCTCCATCGACTTCCACTTGTCAGCATGAATCCTGCCAACTTTGAAGGCAGACCCTCTTTCCAGCACAAAATCCTCTGCTGACTGGGTAATGTTCCACCACAGCCACTTCCACATTGGGTCATTTCCATAGGCCACTTTCTGGGGGACACACAGACTCCATGTGTAGTGTTCTGCAAACAGCTGTGGCCATTGAAAACAGTCTATATGGCCGAACTGTCCATTGCACAGGGGCATGATTGTTTCTCCATCAAAGATGAAGGGTTGGGGAACATAGTCAGTGTTTGGTGACATGATCCAGTGGTCGTCACACTTCACTAGGATGTGCACATTGAATGCACCCCATCTCCCTGAAATAATGATAATCAATTTGAGCTGAGTTAGGGACAGCAAGAACACACTGTCACCAGGGTGGTTGCACAATGATAATTCATAAGGGCAAATGCTAGCTACATTCATCCTGGAAACAAAAGAAGTCAGTCAGTACTTACTTAAATTGATGGAGATGATGATGAGGGGAGAAAAAAATGAATCATGCAGCGTTAAGGCCAGTGTAACTGAAATGAAATGAGAAAATTGCCCTCGATAGGCCCCAAGCCCATTGAGAACTCATGAGGCACCAGACCTCAGAGCACTTGGCAGACAAACACTCCGAATGTTTGGCTCCAAGTACAGCATAAGTTGACCAGATGTTTGAAAGAAAAGTATGAATGAAAGAGAATAAAAACTTACTTTCAAAAAATGTCTTCTTGACAAAGAGGTGATGATGATTGGTGTATTGACTCTGCATGCATGTAGACTGTTAATGCCTGAATTTCGATGAAGAAACACCCCAGAAACCATGAGGATAACTCTTGATAGGCCCCAAGCCTATCAAGAACTCACAGGCACCAAACCCCTGAGACCTGATGGATGAACACTCCAAACATTTGTGGAAAGAGCAACTGGGCCATCTGGAAAAGTAAGATGGAAAAGATAGAGGGAAACTTACCTTGCACTGAATTGGTTTATATGGAGGGGCATCAGCAACTCGAAGTAGTAGGTAGCACTTACTAGTAGTAGTGAGAAATATTACAGGTACTGCTGTGCATGTGACCTGCACTGCAAATGAATGTGACACCTGACTTACAGTGTGCTTGAGGAAGACATTGAGTCTAGGCTCTAAATTGTCAAATAATTGGGTGATTAGATATAAGTTTTGTGTTTTGTATTTCATTCCTCAATGTTCCAGACTGCCTATTGTAATATTTGTGGGAGACATGTTCATGCATTAAAGTAATGACATGTTGATAAGCTACTTATAGCAAGTCCTAGTTACAAGTACTAGTGCACCATTACTACTTTGTTAATAGATTTGGCCACTTTTACCAATGTGACTAAAGTTTCAATGAACGACAGAATTTTAACATGTCATTTCACAATTGCACAATTGTTACATCATCACAGCTGAAACAAACATTCACACCACCCACAGCTAGTACTTAGCAACACTCTCATCTTCTGTATGCTGTCCACATGGTATTGGGGGAATGCTTGGTGTGTTCCTCTACCATATGTCAGGGGCTTGGTGCCCTTGACAGCCTTGAAGGTTTGGAGCCTTCAAGGGCAGTCTTGGTGTCCAGTGGATCTGATGATCAATCACATGATGACAGTCAAGACTGACCCTCATCTTTCAGTGACATTAATGAAGGTTTTGTGGGTCAGTGCTTTCAACTTAAGTTATGCATCATTATGCTTTGCAGTCTACTGACCCATTTACCAGTGCATACTATGTGTACTAGGTCCATTGTTCTCCCCACCTCCGGCTGCACTCCATTGTTCTGCCTGGCCAGTATATGCCTTCTATAGCAATGCCCTTGTCTCCCCACTCATCTACCCTTGGTACAGATTCAGTGATCAATCATGTAGACGATAGTGCAGTTCTCCCCTCACCTTTAGTCCCAAAGATTTGAGTTAGCAACATATCTGTTCATATCTATCCCTGCCAATTGAATACATGGCATGTTCCTCTATGGTATCGGAGACTTGGTGTGATGTTACCTTCAAGGGCAGTGATTCTGATTGTCAATCTCAAGTTCTCCTTTCTACTACAAATTTTCTCCAGGTTGCCTCATGATCAACCATGCGAAGTTCTAATGTGGGTACATGGTTAGCTTTTCAGTGTATCTTATCCATCAATTTCTGCTACTTCCTCCAGGGTATTACGAAGAGTTATGTCACATCTAAGTGCACGATTTGTCATGGTCAAACTTCCAGTTTTCCCACAATGGCTTCCAATAAATGGGGAAAGGGAACGAGGTAGCCTTCTGCTGGAGATCTGCTGTCATACTTGAAATTCTCTGTGCATTCACTCTCCAGCCTTTCCTTCCCATTCCCTGACCCACCATGTCCAAAATACCTTTGCCCAGTACTGGATTGGATATAAGCTCTAGCAACCTTAGTACATGTTTTTCTGACTAACTCCTGATGACTAACACATTTTGGCACAGGTGCTCTAATTACTCTGATCAGAAACCTCGAATTGAATGCAGCAGACACTGAAACACTAGCAAGTGCTTTGTTACTAAGATCTCACACTGAAGGTGAGTATGTTCTTAAGTGACATTTCTGGACTGATCATATTGCAGCCTTCATAGGGTCATCTGGCTTGCAACCCACATACCCCACAGCAGCATTATGCCCATTGAGTCTGGGGGTTTCAGGATTGTTGTCCCATGAAGAGTGCACACCTGCCACCTTATCCTCCTCGATCCCCATTTATGCAGAATTTCCCACACTGCCAGTATCAATACATCTAATGCCACCTAACTCGACTGATCCCTCCACTATTCTTGTCTGCAGCCACCCAGATCATGAAGCAAGGGTTCCATATCTAGCAGATGACTGGGTGCATACTCCCACCAGAATTTTTTTTACCATATCCATGTAAAGACTAATAGCTATTGTATTATCTGTTGGCAAGTATTTCTTGCAGCAGTCTCCAATTAATTTCTATGAAGTATAAATCCTGAGGCCATGTATTGTGTATGGCAGCCTGACTGTGGGGCAAGTTGCAACTCGGCACTTTCCATCCTTTGTAAATTTCTACCATTCAAGCTCTACCACTTAGCAGTGGAATGCTTGGAGCATCTCTCTGCTAAATGTCATGGGCTTGGTGCCCTTGACAGCCCCTGAAGGCTTGGAGCCTTCAAGGGTGGTCTTGGTGTCAATCCGGTGATCAATTGCATGGCCGACAATGACCCTTGTTGCTCAGTACTGGAGATTCATTTCAGCAACAACTTTGCCCAAAGGTCATCATAACTCCAACATTTGGTCTACATTATATGCTTGATTTGGCTATCGATTGCATGAAAGGGACTGCATCTATTGGACTGCATCGACCCTGCTCTCATCAGTGACCACCCTTAGGGGCTTGAACGATTCATTTTCTGTCTAGTAAGCCCATTCCTTTCTCTATTGCTGGATACTGATGAACTTTTGCAGTTTTTCAGTCCTGAGGAAACCCACTTTCTGGGTCACACAGACAGAATACCACCATTCTGGATTTTGATTGGAATTCCACCCATGTGTTTCCATTTTAATAGGTGTGTCATCCTTGCTATGCATTACAACCACTTCTTTCCTGCATGCTTTTCCTTCATCCCCCTTATGTCATGTCCTCTTTTCATGGTTTCATATGTCCTTGCTGATGCTATATCCAGAACTTTGCACACTGAGACAACATGTTCTAGACAGATTTTTTTTCTGATGTGGTTCATCTTGGCTTGATGTGCTCTGACCTTAAATACTCACCTTGCCTCCCCCCATTTCTCAACACCCCCATACAACCATGCCCCACTCAGCTGATATCCCAGAGCCTTTGAGGGACTCCATTGCTGACTTGAACACTCACATTCTTCGCAACTGAAGGATTCTGTCCTCACAAAATGCCCCAGTTTCCAAATGAGTAAAAAAAAGGTGGTGCTGTTGTCTCTAATGATGGAATGCAACACTCAGAGGTATGTCTTGTAGTATTTTTCTCATCCATTACTCTAACATCATTTTCCACTCATGGCAATCTACTCTGAAGGATATGATTGGCAAACCGAAACTGTGGTGCACAGTCCAGCCTCCCAAAGGCTGGGAAGAGCACATGTTTGGCCTGAGAGATAGAAGACATTCCTTGACACCTCATCCTTCCATTGCAAACACCCCAATGCTCCCTTCCCCTTCCCTGTGCCTGGACGACCAAATCCATGATGTGGACTCTGCAATGGAGGAGGTGGAGGAGAATCCCAACAACAATGAAAATGAGGATGACCAGCCTTCCAGTAACAAGAACAAGGATGACCTGCCATCCAGTAGTGAGAAAGAGGATGACCAGCTGCCCAGTAGCAATGATTATGACAAGGGTTCCAATTACAATGAGAATGACAATGACAATGAGGAGATGGAGAGCTCGAGCAACTCCCATGGTAGGTTTTTCCATTTCATATCCCTCATTCTCTCATGTTTTTTTCCAGATAATTCTCATTTCTTTTGATTTTGGGGTTTGGTGCCTCTCTGGTCATGCAATGGTGGGCTTGGTGCCCACTTGTGTTTCAAAGCTTGGTGCTTTGGATACTCATGACTGTTTCCTGCTGCCCATCATTCCCTTGGTTGTTATATAGATAAAGAATTGTTGTGATCCTGTTCTGTTACCATCTATATATGCATCTGCCTCATGTTGACATGTTGACTCCTAGATGATGATGATGCATGTGCTCGCAATGCTCAGACCATTTCTTGTGCCCAGTCCCTGCTTCCCCCATCCTTGCCACCCACATATGAGTCTGATGACTCTGCCCATCCTGTAGGGGATGTTGTCCATCCTCACCAAGGTGGCCTGATCTATACTAGACTTCAGAAGAAGGGCAAAGGTAGGGCTATAGGTGCTGAGGACATTGATGCTGCAAACCACAGTGACCATGACACCCAACTCCTGAACCTCAAGAAGCTGGGGAATCTGTCCACAGCAGCATTAGATGAAATACATGCTTTTGCAAAGGATGTCAAGACAATGGCAGAAGAACTTGGCTGATGGCACAGGCAGTCTACACATGACATACTCATTGCTATGGGATTTAGTGTTAAGGCTTCTCATACCAAAATTAATGAGGCCAATCTCTTCCACTTGTGGTATTGGGCCATGCAGCCCAAACCAGATGGTGGTATGGCTTTCCTCCCTCTCACATCTACTGTTCTAACGTCCTGACCAGCTAGTCAAAATTCAATCAACAATTTGATTACAAAGGAGTACAACACCCTCATGATAGGCATCCCCAAGGATGACTTCACAGCAAGGAGGGAAAAGTTAAAAGCCATCTATGAGTGGAGTGAGAGCGCCTCTGCCATACTGACTAACTGATCTGTCAAATCTATTGCAGCTAGAGTGGACAATGCAAAGACACAATTTTCTGGATTGGTATGTGGTTGCAACTGTGCAGCCATCAATTCTGATCATTCCACAGGCAGAGGCATGGTCCAATCTCAAGGATATTGAGATAGTTGGAGCAGTAATGTATGTTGGACAGGACCCTGCAGGATGTCAAACTTCTGGCATATTTGGAGGTTCCAAGATGATGAGAAACTTCATCAATGAAAATGGCATTGATGTCCAGTCACTCATGGATAAGTATACCATGATTTTCAAGTAAGTTTATTTCTTGCATGTTTCATTTGATCTCATTGGATTGTTGTAGGTGTCTCAGGAATGGCAATGGTGCAGATGCCAGGGTGGCTGGCACTGGTTCCATTGGAGATGTGGGTTCTGTGCTGGAACTACATTGCTGTACAAAGGAGACTCCAAGAGACCACAACCACAGAGTATCCAGAAGCATGATGAAGGAGAAGATGTTGGCTGCATTGAGAGATCTGCATGGTAAGTTATTCTTGTTGTGCATGCATTTATCTTGATCCTTTGCTCAGTCACACATGGCATTGAAGTTGGTGATCCCCAGAGAGTTTCCTGGCACTGGCTTCTCGAGTTTTTGTGGAAGAGCCACCTCACTATTGTCAACTGGCCCCATGGTGTATCTCCACCAGGCCCTGGTTTCAAGTACAAGTAACTTAAGGCTGGCCCTCTTTGTCAACTTGTAGTACCTTACCTTCACAGAAAACTGGGTCTTTTGTATGATGGGCAAACTGATGATGAGGAAGAACAAGATAGTCTGGATGATGTGCTGGAAATTGAGATGAAGTGCTGGAACAAAGGTATTCCCTATTTTATTCATCCAGTTGGATGCTGACCCTTTGAAGGGTGAGATCGTGCTCATCAAAGCTACCGATGGTACTGTTTTGCAGCAGATCTCAGATGATCCAGAGTGGCAGAAGTCCCTCAAGGAAACAGATCACCAGCAGCAAGGCACAGAGGTCCTTCAACAGCCACAACCCCAACTGCAGCAACAACTCCCTTTTCCCTCTCAGAAGCAACCCTGTGTGGAGGCATCAAATTGCAATACTATTGGTCCCCAGGTAAGTTCTGCTCTTTACTTGATATCCAGTATCTGCTGACATTCGCAAGGCTTTACAGTCTGACTGTCAAACTGTGCCACATGATCAACACCAGGATGTGCGCCCCATTGGACAAGATTCATGTCATGACCTGTCCACAATTCCAAGCAATGTGCACACTCGAGAGCCTGGCCCATCCAAGCCTCCTGTGCTGGCTCTGTGATATAGGGTAGGGTTTGGTTCCTATGGTCTGATAACAAGACTAATGAAGTGTCATATAGGATCTACATTGGGATAATCTTCCAAGCCATCCTCACATGTGAGAGGCCAGCCTAGCCCAGCAGTCTTTTCCCAGATGACAAGTGAGTATCCAGGTCTCTGACCTTTGGTAACAAGACTAAGGAAAAATTATGTAGGATTCTTGGGGTGACCATATGAACTATCATGATCCTGGCCCATCTAATATCCCATATCATGTGAGTAATTCAATTTTGCAGAGGTTTCACCATCAGCTTGCATTCTCTCTAGGCATTACCTTCTGGCCACTGCAATCAATTTCCTCCATCTCACCAAGGATTCCATTGCATTCCATCTCAAACCAACCATCCTTACTACAATGGTCCATATACTGATGACTACTACCCTCCAACCCAGTCAGGTGAACCTCATTGGGTTAACAGGGGTAATGCTGCACAATATGAGGACAACTTTGCTGAGGAGTATATAAATGAAGATTAATACTAGTGTAGTTTTTGCTTCCCCTACAACATATTTGTCATGCACTGCTTGTATATCAATGTCTCTGGTGTCAGTGATGATGCTACCATCAGATTTGGGGGACAAGTCTGCGGCTCTCCACTCAGTCCTGTGCCTTTCCTATCGCTTTTCGCACCACTTGTTCCCCTTTCCAAGACCTCTCTGGGGGGGCCTCTTTTGTCTAATTCCATGGAGCTGCTATTGAGATATCACCATTTTTGTGTTTGGAGGGCAGTGAGACAGTTTCACATGTAGCTCAGGATCCAATGGTCTGATCATGGTGGCTCCTTTTTTTCTGTGTTTATCTATGAGTACCCAACCACCTTCCTGAGGCCTGTGTCAATCACCCCAGCCGTTGTCCTGAGGTCGTCACCTGCTTGTTCACTTGCCTGCAGTTACCACTATCATCTTGGGGCTGTATCTCAGTGGTTTCTCTGACACATCTCCTGCTTTTTTGCAGACTCGCACTACTAGATGATGACTCCCAGGAGATGTCTAGATCATTGTGATTGGTGCAGTAGTTATGGAGATGTTCACATTTTTGTGGCAAGGCCCACCCCTTGAGGTCCTCTCATTGTACCTCATGCATATCCACACTGCTTCTCTCACTTTTTGAGCCACAAATCCCTCTCACTGACCCATTTCCAGGGTGCCCTTGTTC